GCGTAGAGCTGGGTGGGTGGCCCCGGGGAAAGGGGTGTGCGCGTGCGCGTGCCCGCAGGGTGCTAATGCAGCGCGCAACGTATCTGTCGTAGTGCGAGTTGGGCAGCAGCCTGGTCTCGTCGGCACAGCGCACCTCGTCTGGTTTCGTAGTCTGCGAGGTGCACAGCCAGCTGCCGGAGCGTCAGTCCTGTGGGCCGGGGAGTGTTTTATGTTCAGGAAATAAATGCATAAGGCCGTTGTATCTTGGTGGGGGAAGGAGTTGTGGGGATGTCTTAGTGTAATATTGTGAACCTGTTACATTTGAGAGTTTTTACTTAGGGAAACTCTGGTGTTGACACGCAGGAGCAGAGTAAAAGTCTATGGCTCTCTGCAAAATCATACTAGTTTCAAATATTAGCGCCTTATTCGATTTTGAAAGAGCACCCAATAAAGTGTTAGATTTCATCTCCCATTACAGAGTAATTAGTTCGGTTTTTAAGGTCAAACCAGTTCGGAGTTACAAAATGATCAGAACATGAGTGAAAAAGTCTGAGAGGGGTTAAGTGGGAACGTCCACACTGCCAAGCCCATTATTTCAAAATAAGGTGCTGGTTCCCTTGAAATAATGAGTGTATTCCCTAAGGAAAGCAGGAGTTGTTTCTGTATAGTTATTTTGGGAGTTATTATTTTTATTATTTTTAAATAGGTTATTTCAAAATAATTTCCTAGTGTTTTTACAGACTAACAGATATGGATGGTTGGACAATGGGAGCTATCGTGGGTTAAGGTTTGGTCCAGGTTCTAGACTCCTAAACTCTTTGAGTCCCAATTGCCTGCTCAAATATGTCCCCAAACTCAGTGACAAAAGGTTGAATCTGAGGTTGGGAGCCCATTGAAAACAGAGGTCACAACACAAAATGGACCATGCAACAAGGACTAGCTAGCAGACAACCCCTCCGATGATCCCTTGTGGACTGAGCAGACACAGCTCTCAGTATGACTTGGTCCCATCTAGAGACCAATTCCATGAGATGCGCCTTGGTTGCGCTGTAAAACCAGCACGCACCGAGCCTACAAATCCCAGCATGCATTACTCCCTCTGGCCACACGCGCCGCTAGTCTTTGCCGCAAGGCGTTCTGGGAGTTGTAGTCTCAGTAGAATGCCCGCTTCCTAAAGCGGAGAGGGAGATTTCCGGGTCTCCTCAGGCCAAGCGAGACGCGTGGGTCAGCTGGCCGGAAGTCGCGGGCCCCGAAG